ACTAGGTCCTGCCCCTAAAAGCGCTTTAACCGTATTTAACTCTTTGCATTATCAATTTGTGTAGAACAAAATTATATATATGCATGTATTTTTAAAATCCTTAAATCTTTCACACACATGCATACATGCAAATACGAGATATCGCTAAAGCATATCTTAGGGCGCTATAAAAATTTAAATGAATGTGGCGTTTCTAATGTTCAATAAATCTTGGAATTGTAGTAGATTTAAGCTGTTTAAATCTTGGGATTTTTCTATTTAAGACATGAGAAAACTTATTTCTACAAATATTTTATTAATTAGAAATGTATTAATACAAAAGTTGCTGGTGGAGGGTATTTAAGATTCGGCTCAGCCGAATATAGCACTCTAACTTGTTTTTGTATTTATTTATATTGTATATACTTATTCTTAGGGGCATTAAAAAATTTTAGAACAGGTTTTGTACCTTACCCTTTCCGATTTTGATAAAACTTGGTACACACATTCTTAGTATCTATACGAAGTTTAAAGTTCTCCTACATTTCCAAATTCATTACGGTTTAGATTTTATCAAGGTTCAAAGCTCAAATTTTTTAAGATTTTTTTTTCAACAAGCATTAAATTTTACATCATATATTTTCTAAAATATTTACGATTAAAATCGGATAAACAGTTTAGAAAATATACGATGTTAAATTTAATGCTTGTTGAAAAAAATATGAATATGAAAAATATGAACTTTAAACATCGATAAAATCTGGACCGTAACGAATTTGAAAATTTTGGAGCACTTTAAATTCAAGGCAAGGTCAAATCATGGACCAATTTGAAATAGTCTTTTGCATTTTTCACATAAAACATCTCGTTGAAATATGTGAAAAATTGCGACCAGTACATTATACCTTAATGGACTTTTAAAAACTTGATTTGAATTTTGCACTTTATTCTGAAGGAGTTCTGGCAACTCTGGTTGCAACTTCGCTGAATTTTTATATTTTAAATACATTTATTAATAAATTTGAAATGCATGAAAAAATCAAATAATACAACAGTTTTTATTGGTTATTGATATGAACAGTATTGGTCTATATAACCGAATTACTAATATTCCATTGTCTTCAATCGGAAATTCGGTTATAACAATCAACCTTTGTTCTAAAAACACAGATTGGCAACAAATTCGGTTGTGACAATGAAACTGGTTTCTCTGTGTAAGTATATTACCATTATTTTTTGGTGTTACAAACATTAGCACCGACGCATAATACCAGCCCCACTATAGTGGTGTAAGGTACATTTTAAAAATATAATAGAAAAGATATAACATAAATCTGAAGTCAACAAATGGTTCTTAAACAATTGTCGTGCATATTTAACTCTACTAATACGATTTTAAAGATTTCCTAGTGTTCCGGTCAGTGGCGCTACTTGGTTAAAATAATAAGCAATAAAGAAGCGAAAGTTCTGCGTACGTTGAACGCGTGAAATGGGCTTAACCATAATCACCGTCAACATTATAGTTATTCAGACCGCATCGACATGAGTGTTAGATGGCATTAAAAGTCAATTATTGCTCAAGTAGACTTTGTATACTAGAAAATGTTATAATTTTTAAATATACATATGTACTTTAAAACATAATCGTAGATGTTTATATTTATTATTTCAATTTCTGAACTTACATGGGGAACAGACCGTTGTCTTTTTTCTAAGACAAATGGAAGAATTAAATGCAACTATTCCACTTAAATCACAAAGTGTAACATATGAAAAATGGTAAATATTGTATGGGCTATTCCATACCATTGTGACATTTGTTCGCTTTCAGAGTGGTATACATATGTACAACCCTTTTTTTTTTTAATATGGAGCAAAATAAGGGGATATCATACGAGACAAAAACTGAAGTGTACATGTACATGTAAAAATATACTAAAATCTGCGAATTCTGTAGGTATTTATTTATTGCTTCTTTCACTAAATAACATAATAATCCATAATTTTTAAATAAAAAAATTTTTTAAGATAATTGTACACTTCACCTTCGCTAGAAGGATATAAGAATAGAAGTTTGCCATACCGTTTGTAATTTCTACAATATAATTTTCCGACCCTATAAAGTATATAATATATTATGTAAATTCTGGATCCTTATAGATAGCAGAGTCGTTTAAGCCATGTCCGTCTGTCTGTTGAAATAAATGTTCTGATCTTCGGGATCTAAATCTTCAATAATTCTGTCAGTCATGCTTTCGAGAAGTTTTCTGTTTATGCAAAATCCGTCTATAAACAACGGCGATATGATCCGAGACAACCTCTGAAGATTTCATTAAAAGAAGACAATTTATTGCATGCTTTGACAAAAAAGCAACAACAACATTGCTTATTAGAAAAAACGTATGTTTGGATGTGTGCTGGTTTCATTGCTATTCGTATTTTGTTTATTTGTAATGAGAGAATCGGGAAAAATTAAATAAACTAAAATTTTATAAAATTCATCTTTTTTATAAGTGAAGGGTATGTACATATGTATATAAGATTCGGCAAAGGCAAATATTGACTTCTACTTGTTTTATAAGTGAGTAATGGACGTTAAAGTATTTTTTTTCTGAAATTAAACTTTGTATGGGAACTATGGTCAAATGAGGTCTAATCGTTATGAAAGTAAAAATACTATCCTTATTTTTGTAAGGATACTATTATAATTAACAGAATTGTGAGCTAAAAAGCGGGTCCGTTTGTATGACGGGTACTTGTGATAATAAACCGATTTAAAAAAATGTTAACAACCTTGGTCAATAAAAGATCATACATCAAATTTTGTTGAATTTGCTTCAAAAATGCAGAAGTTTTGAGGGTTTTATTTTTTCAGTCGTGGTTTACTATTGTATGGAATTGCCCCTATGTGAACATACATACATATATGTATGTACATATGTTTGTGATTAATTTGTGTGTGACAAACCCTATATACTTATACATAGTGTATGTTGACAAAAAAATTTAAATAAAAACTAGTATGTTTAAAGTGTGTACTTATTATCGGTCAACCGTTTAATTGGTTCAGCTTAAAACTTACAGATCGCACAGACCCAAGTAATTTTAAAGTAAAATAAAAAAATACGTGTTTGATTGAAGTTAACATGAAATTTTCATTATGTATGTATTTTTTATTTATTTTACAAATCCATTAAATCTGCACTGTTTTGGAAGTAATACGATATGGGATATTCACTTTTTAGATTTTAAGAAATCAACCTTAGGTATTAATGATTTCTGTGGTATAATATCTCAAAAATAAATGCCTATGAATTGTTTTCACTAGACTAGAAAGAAAAAGTCCATCAAATTTTGTGGTCAAGAGTGGTTCCATGTTGTAGTAATAAATACTTGAAGTTAAAATTTCTTAAAAAATCTGCTTTCAACCAAATGAGTTACTTCTGCTAATGTGCAAACAAGGGAAATTCTTTTTAAACGACTTTATAGACTACTAGAATACCCCGGATGCTTCGCTACCCTAACCAAAATTAAATACCTACATACATACAAAGTTTTTATTACTTTTATAGAAAATTTTAATTTATTAAACGTTTTTTAATCTGTTTTTTATTCAATATTATCGAAATTTATCACGTGAAAAATTTCGCATTCAGTAAGGAGCGTTTATTTTTATTTTCATTCGTTGATCTTTCACACTGTGTCATGTGTTCCGGTTCCGGGTGGAAGAGACCCCACTTTCAGATTACACTGTAATTACACTGTAAATATGTGTAGTGTCATACTCCGTTTTGAAAAAAGTTTTCACTCATTGACATACGAACTAATTATGAAAAACTAAATATATATGCATAATTGTTTCAAATGGACTCTATTGGCATGTATTTATTTTTAAATTAAATAATCAAAAATTGCTTCAGAAACAGTTTAAACTTTACAATGCAATATCTGCCGATTTTGACCCAACATTTCAAAACGGATTATGCCACAGATTTATGTTTTTAGGTAGAATATTTTAGAAAATTCATAAAAGTACCATTTGCGATATACAAAGTACTAAAAAGTTCTCTCTTAAAGAATCATATTCAAAAAGGACAGTGTATGTTTAATAATCACGTGATTTGGACTCATACCATAACATATAAAAAGTATAAATTAAAGAAAGAAATAGTACAAAAAGTGGAATAAATTCTACTTTGTGGAAAGTACTAATAAAAAGATTGCCGTTTCCCCCTTTTCGTCTATGAATAAACAATTTTTAGAGTTAAATATTCCGTGTTTAAATCTATATATCGCAGATAAAACTCAAACGGTACAAATATGCTTTCATTTGTTCCAGAAAAATTGTGCTTTCAAAGAGTATCAAACAATTTATCCGAATTTGGTCATATATAAGGCTTTTAACCCGAATTCCGAAATAATATAAATACCAATAGCATATTTTGTGTGAGTAAATTAACTATTTTTTTTCTAATTTTAAAAAATTGAGTTTGAATAAATTTAATTTTCCTATTTGGTACTTTTTTCCCCAATGAAATAGCAAATATTTTGTTTCGATAAATATTGTCGCAATATAATAAAATACCTATTACAAAAATAAATATTTTAATAATGCGCGAGAGATTTGCCGTACATATGATGTTGCTCATGTGCAGGTTCGATTACTACTGTCTTTAAAATTAAAAAATAATGTTTATGGACCACAAAGAATTTACAAATTATAAATATCAAGTGGTCCGTTATCCAAAAACAAAAATATTCAACTATTGTTGGTACACACATTATGCTTACTTATATTTAAATAAATAACAAATGCATGTACGTACACGACAGAAAGAAGAATGACAAAAATTTGCACTAACAATAATACACTCATTAACAGACGCAGTATTAATAACAACAACATTAAGGGTATTGGAAAGTACGAACGAAAAAACAAACAAGTAATTAAACAGTCGGTGACAAAAAATATGATCTCCTCCAACATTCTCCCCCCGTTGAAAGGTCTGCGTTTCAAGATCCTATAAATTAGGTAAAGGGGCCACCTTGTGTATAGGTCGCCGACAAAAACCATTAGCAGATTTTAATTCGACTACTCGTACATGTCCATCAGTACCAAAAATTGTTTTTGTGACTCTTGCAAGGAGCCAATTCTGTGGTGGAGTATTATCTTCATGGATAATGACTAGTTGTCCAATATTGATATTTGGTTGTGTTTTAGACCATTTCGAACGTTGTTGTAGCGATAAAAGATAATCTCGGGACCACAGTTGCCAAAATTGATTTTTGAGATACGAAATTTGTTGCCATCGATTTAATGCGGATAACTTTGAAGAATCAAAAGTTTCCTGAGGTATGGACACCAACGATGAACCAATTAGCAGATGACCGGGAGTAAGTGCTTCTCCATCATTAGGGTCATCTGACATTGGAGCTATAGGACGAGAGTTCAATATAGCTTCTATTTCGACAATTAAAGTTTGTAGTTCTTCAAATGTAAGGCGAGCTTGAGCAAGATTTTTTACTAATAGGGTTTTAGCAGATTTAACAGCGGCCTCCCACAATCCACCAAAATGTGGGGCACGAGGAGGGATGAAACAAAATTCGAAGCCATTTTGAGTACAATGCGTCTTGATTTCTGATACGATTTTATTAGAGAGCAATTTATCTTTTAACTCTTTGAGTTTATTGTGGGCACCTGTAAAATTTGTCGCGTTATCGCAAAAAATGCGTTGCGGTAGGCCACGTCGACTAACAAAGCGATTTAAACAAAGTATAAAATTGTTTGTGGACAAATCGGAAACGAGCTCCAAGTGAGTTGCCTTTGAGCTAAAGCACACAAAAACTGCGACGTAAGTTTTATAAGGTACCTTTCCACGAATACGATACGAAGTTAAGAATGGGCCACAAAAATCGACTCCACTGACCAAAAATGGTCGTTGAGCTCTTAGGCGATCAACTGGTAAGTTGCCCATTATTTGTCCAATCAACTTTGGTTTGTAGTGGAAGCAATGGACACAATTGCGAACCACTTTTCGAACTACTTCTCTGGCGTTAATTATCCATATTTTTTGACGAAGTATTCCAAGCAATACTTTGGGACCAGCATGTAAGTGAAGACGATGTAAATGCTCAATGTATAGCTTTACAAAGCGATGATTTTTCGGCAATAAAGCGGGAAAGCGAGCATCATATGGGATTGGAGCTTTCGATAATCTTCCACCCACTCGAATCAAATTAATAGTTTTGTTGTCAGTTTCCATTTGATGTACAAATGGAGCCAGTTTTTGCAAGGACGGTTGTACCAAATTATTGTTTAAAATGGCGTTTAACTCCACGACGAAGTTTTTACTTTGTATATGTGCTACTAATTTCCAAAATGTGTTCTCCAACTCCTGGGGTGGGAGATGAATGATGTTATTGGCTTTCAACAAAGGGTCTACCTTGCACCTATTACAAATTCGAAAAATGTATGTAAGTATCCGAAGAATTTTATAGTATGACGAATGCTTACCTATAATTTCATCTATGACGGACTCGGTGATGTCATTTGTAGTGCATTTAAGAGCCGTTTTTCTTCTTTCCAAAATTTCATCGGATTCATCAGTTATGTTTGCGGGCCAGTTACTAACATCTTCGAAAATAAATTTGGGACCATTAAACCAAATTGTACTAGGCAAGTCTGTAGCGCTACAACCACGAGACACAATATCGGCTGGATTACTTTTTGATGGCACATGCCGCCATATAACGTCTTGAGCTTGTTCTTGTAACTCTGAGACACGATTTGCTACAAAACAATTAAGGGTTGATGAATGTATCTTGAGCCATTGCAAAACAATTTTAGAATCCGTCCAAAAGAATATAGAAGATACAAATTTTCCGATTTTTGGTTTTATTTTTGACCAAGTTCTACTAAGTAATACGCACGCGCATAGTTCGAGACGAGGTAAAGACTGTGCTTTTATTGGAGCCACCTTCGATTTGGCGATTAACAAGGTAGTTTTATAAGAACCATTTTCTAAGACGCGATAGTAAATACAGCATCCAAATGCGCGTTGCGAAGCGTCGGCGAAGCCATGTATTTCGCCGAGTATGTTTTCCGAAGTAAAAACATATCGAGGTATTGTGATTTCATGAATATGTTCCAAATCTGCTTTAATTTGGAGCCACATCAATGTCAAACTATTGTTGAGGGGATCATCCCAACCAATGTTCTGGACCCACATCTCTTGGAGCAGCATTTTACAACGAACTACAATAGGGCTCAAGAGACCAAGCAAATCGAAAATTTTTGCTACTATCGATAAAATTGAACGTTTTGTGGGATTACTTACATCGGGCAAGTTAAAGCGAAACAAAAATATATCCTGAGTAGGATTCCAGGACATTCCAAGTGTTTTTGTAATATTTTCTTCAGTGGTTTTAATGGCAACTTCTTCGTCGTTGTTGGTTACGAAGTCTGGACAATTGCTATTCCACTTTGCGAGCTGAAGACCATGAATACTGAGAATTTTAATCATTTCAGATTTCTTGAGTTCTAAGATTTCGAGACTATCAGAGCCAGTGAGAACATCATCTACGTATAAATCCTCACGAAGTACCTTTGAACCAATGGGAAAAGTTGAACTGTGCTGATCGGCGATAAAAAACAAACTTCGAATAGCCAAAAACGGTGCTGCTGAGAGCCCATACGTAACGGTGTTTAGTTGAAACACGCATAGTTTGTCTTTTGAATTGGATCTCCAAAGAACCAATTGAAATTTACGATCACGTTCATCGACTAAAAATTGGCGGTACATTTTAGATATGTCTGCAGTGAGAGCAAATCTATTCAAACGAAACGAAAAGAGTGTGGTAACTAAATCTTGTTGTATAGTTGGGCCAACCATGAGTATATCATTCAAGGAATGATTCGAAGTTGTGCGAGCTGACCCATCGAAAACGACACGAAGCTTTGTTGTTGTACTCTCAGGCTTGAGAACACAATGATGAGGTATTATGTAATGTGGATGCGAAAGAGGACGATTATAGAGCGACATATGACCAAGTGCCAAATATTCGTTCACAAAATCGACATACATAGATTTTAAAGTGGGATCACGTTCCAATTTACGTTCGAGCGACAAAAATCTTCGTTTACTAATTTCGAAAGACTCACCTAAACAATTAGGATTTTGTTTAAATGGTAACCGAACTTGAATTCTTCGGTCCGAGTTAATTTGGACATTTTCGGTGAAATGTTTCTCACACGCTTGTTCCTCATTGGTAAATGTTTGAGGACCACTTACATATTCCTCAACTTCCCAAAATTTTCTCAATGTGTTATCAAGAATTGAAGTTGAAGAATCTAGGGCCAAATTACATGTAAGGGTCGAGGGATTTTTTTGATCCTTGAATTTTCCACCGACAATCCATCCAAAAACTGTATTAACAAGGCAAGGCATGCCATGTCCTAACGAAATGCGTCCTTCGAGCAACAAATCGAAAAATATTTCCGTACTAATTAACAAATCAATGCGTTGGGGCTTATAGAAAAGCGGGTCTGCGAGTTGTATGGTTTCTGGAATTGTGAACCTTGTTGTATCTATTTTTTCACCAGGCTGTTGGGCTGATATAGATTTCGTTACAGCAAATGTTGATGACCACTGAAATGAACCAATTCGGGATTTTATGGTAGCAGCGACAGAATATCTTATTTTTGTTTGAATTTCACTTATTCCAGAAACATCTTGACAATTTGGTAGAAAACGTAGTTTAAGTTTCTTGGCAGTTTCTTCTGTAATGAAGTTAATTTCAGAACAGGAATCCAGAAGAACTCTTACAGGTTGATAACAACCGAAACTATCTTTGATAAGAACCACCGCAGTTGGTATTATGGCTCTTTTGAACGAACGAGCTACTAACGATGTTGCATTATTTGTAGATGTTTCAGGAGGAGCTGGATTAACTGGTGCTGATTCCGGTTGAACGAAAATATGTAACGAAGTATGATGAGCGGACTGACAAACCCTACAACGACTACTAGAAGGACATTTCGAAACTAAATGACCCTTTCGAAGGCAGTTTATGCAATGCCCATTACGTTTTACGAAATTAAAACGTTCCGAAACTACGAGCGACAAAAATGATGAACAGATGGCGAGATGATGACCAGAGCTGTTACAATACGAACAAGTTGTGTTTCTATTCGAACTAAGAAAAGTATTTGCATTACGAGAAAAGTTTGATTTTGGCTTTGTGCCAGTAGAACTACTTTTTTGTTCACTTTTCTTTCCATGACTTTCCAAAAATTGACATCGATGACTCAAGATGTCATAACAGGTGTCCCATGAGGGCAATGATCTAAAATCTAGTTTTTCATCGTAATTCTGTTTAGAACTATCATCCAGCTTCGATAAAACAATATGAATTATAATAGCATTCATAATGTCTAATTCCGATCCAAGCGATAATAGTGAACCACGAATTGCAGAAACGGTATCTATGATATAACGTAATGAAACACTGTCGCCTTTGGACATTTCAGGAATGTTGAAAAGTGTTGTAATGTGTTCCAAGAAAATTAGTACTTTGTTGTCGTACCGCTCCCTCAACCTATCAAGGGCCTTCGGGTAATTCTCATCAGTCACTTGGAAAGGTTCCACAACTGATAGGGCTGGACCAGAAAGACAATTTAACAGATAATTGAATTTATCTACTGGCGTAATCGACGAATTATCATGAACCATATTATTGAAAGTAGTGATAAATCGTTTATAATCTGCGTACTTTCCATCGAAGCGAGGCAATTTTAACGAGGGCAAACGAGTTTGATTGGAAAGTCCGATCGAAGTGTTGAAGAAACTTTGTTCCATTGAAGTCGAACTACGAGTTTTGTTTAAGATGGACAACAATTTTGCCTTGGCTGCAATATATATTTCTTCTAAGTCACTCCTAGTGACATCGGAAGGACTTATTTTTTCAATTTGCCCTTGAATATGGGAAATCTGTTTGAAGTAGGACTCTAAAATTTCGAGCCGACATTGCAAAATTGTTGTATCAGCAGTATCTCCATCCTTATCGATTTTCTTTTCTAAACAAGTAATGTTTCTTTTCATTGTGGCCCTTTGTTGTTTCAAAGAGGCCAATTCTGGACTTCCAGAATCATTTAATTCTGGCATATCTTTGTCCTTGTTGGCCATTTTTTATATAAACTTTTCGAAAATTTATAACAAAATGTTTTATAGGAAATCTTCAAAAAATACCTATTACAAATCTTGTATCTTTTATTTGTACCAAGTATTTCTTGAACCACAAAAAATATTGAAACACAAAAATTAACTTGTTTTCTTCTACAAAATTTTGTTTAGGAAATAAATTTAATTTATTTGAGCCACAAATTATTGTAATTACAAAATAAAGGAATTTATTTTGTTCTACTAAAAAATGTGAAATCAAATAAATTTAATTATTTATTTGGACTACAAATTGGTTTTGAAATTACAGAAAAACAATTTTTTCTGTTCTACTAAGGAGAACAACAGCTCTTAAGTTGGCTCTAAGAATTTCTCGAAAGTATTTGCAACAGTACCACAAATTGGTTCTGCTGGAGCGAAAAGGCAATATTCGTGCAACTGGTATACACAAATTCTACAAAGATGTGGCTCTACGGGCCAGGAAATCCTCAAAACCAAATTAAATAATTGAGTTTTATTTAAAACTTAAGTGCCGTGTCCTGTCACGGTCGCCAAAAATGTCGCAATATAATAAAATACCTATTACAAAAATAAATATTTTAATAATGCGCGAGAGATTTGCCGTACATATGATGTTGCTCATGTGCAGGTTCGATTACTACTGTCTTTAAAATTAAAAAATAATGTTTATGGACCACAAAGAATTTACAAATTATAAATATCAAGTGGTCCGTTATCCAAAAACAAAAATATTCAACTATTGTTGGTACACACATTATGCTTACTTATATTTAAATAAATAACAAATGCATGTACGTACACGACAGAAAGAAGAATGACAAAAATTTGCACTAACAATAATACACTCATTAACAGACGCAGTATTAATAACAACAACATTAAGGGTATTGGAAAGTACGAACGAAAAAACAAACAAGTAATTAAACAGTCGGTGACAAAAAATATGATCTCCTCCAACAAATATTATAAAGTAAAAGTTTTTTTAATGTGCTAAAAAGTACCAAAAATACAGTTTTCTCCCTTTTACATCCAAAAAAGACTGAATTTTAAAAAAGTACGAAACAGGTGTCTCATAATTTTGGAAGATATTTTCAAAATATTTACAAAAATTGTCTTATGTTTATAAGTTAAAACGTTATACAGGGCCAAAAAAAGGTACCAAAATCACCTTTGTTACACATTTTTACCCCTTAAAAGTACGAATTTAAAAAAAGTACAGAACCCATCTGCTTATTTTAAGAGTAGATACAGGTGCATTAACAATTGTATACACTTCTTAAAAATACAGGTGTAACATAGAGCTTTGTGGTTAAATATACACCATACAGGCGTTGGGAAGTCCTGCAATACCGTAAAGTGTATGAAGAAGGCATACATTTCTATTTGTATCCTCAAGATTCCGTCTACGCATGTAGTTCAAATATCAAATAAGGGATCGGGCAATATCTTTAAGTATATATCAATATAATATTTTCGCAAAAATTGTTGTAATAAAAAAAAAAAAAAAAAAATAAAAATAAATTCAAAATATAAAATTTATAATTTTCTATAAATTGAATGAAAACAAGTTAGAATGCTATATTCGGCTGACGTGGTGTCTACTAGACACCATTTTTTGAAAGCTTATATTTTATAAGATCTATTTTTTAAACCCACTAAAAATATTTCATTTTATAGTTTAAGGGTCAAAGTTGTTATTTATTATAATATTTTATTAATTTCGACACGATAATTCATGTTTATTGGCAAGGTTCAAATTGAAAAATTTTATTTTTCTGATTTTTTGGTGTCTGTCAGACTACCACGTCAGTCCCAGAGGGTTAAGATACTATTTATCATTTATTAATTTCTTTATGTATGTATGTATGTGTAACTAATTTTGATTAATTCCAGAAACATTTGTATTAAGTAATTTTCAGATACCTACATACCTTTTATTCTATACTAGCTATACCCAGTGTGCTTTGCTACCCAAAAAGGAATATGTATAAATAAGAACCCACTTAACGATTTTGAAGATTCTAACTACAATAGTTTTCCAGATTTATAATATGTTACATATGAGAGATGTCAAGCAAATTATTGCAAGTTCGCCAGTTTCCATCTATCGCTAATTTCTTTCTATCTATGGGGGGCTTCAAGCTCCCCACATGGAAGTCCAAAATGTTCAGATGAATACTAAACTAATTTGTGCAAAATTTTATAAATCAAGTTCTATTAGTTTCCCAGATAAATGAAATTTTATATTTAATTCATATGGGTGGTGCCAAGTTCCCCATTGAAAGTCCGCGCGTTATACCCCAAATGTTCAGATGAAATCAAGATTCTTCAAGTAAAATTTGAAGATTCTAGCTCTAATAGTTTCTCAGATATACGAATTTTTCTATTTGATTCATATGGGGGTTCAAGCCCCCCAGAAAAAAGTTCGCTTTTTTTCCTCCAAAATGTTCAGATGAATATTTAAGTTATACGTGCAAAATTTGAAGAACTTAGTTCCATTAGATTTCCAAATAAACGAATTTTTGTCTTTAATTAATATGGGAGTCCGCCAATTTATTACCCAAAATGTTCAGATGGATGTTAAAGTTATTCGTGCAAAATTTGAAGATTCTAATTGTAATAGTTTCCAAGATAAACGAATTTTTGTATTTAATTTATATGGGAGGTGGCACGCCCCCTAATGCTAGTCCGCCTACTTTTTGTCCTAAATAATTATATTGACACTAAATTTGCTCTGACAAAATTTAAGGACTCTAACTGTTGTATTATCTAAAATATACGGATTTAATATTTTCTTAATATGGGCGTGGCTCCTCGCCCACTTGGAATTTCAAAATAAAAAGTAGCCTATTACCTATTCCACGCTGTGAAAATTGGAATAAAATCGGTTCAGCCGTTTAGTAGTCTATAACGTTCAAACATACAAACAAACACACATTGTTATTATATATATATATGTGCCGATTCTGCAAATACTAAAAAATTTCGTAGAACTATTTTATATAGGAACTATTACCAATAATGAGCCAATTCGAAAAAAATAAGCAAAATGATTTATCTATACAGAGAACATACTCATGTCGAGTTAAATCCGGCTATAATAATTTAAAAATAAATTATTTATATAAATGATTTATAGGTAAAAAAAGGTAGGTAAAAATTGGTTAGTAAAAATAACACAAGTCAACAAAATCGAACTTTTGCGTGATTTTAAATAAAAATAGGTAATTCCTGTGCATTTCCACCCGCTGAGTTCATAAATTTTTATTAAAATTTTCGGTTAGCTCTAGTTTTTGAGGAAGTAGAAATTTAACCTTTTTTTGTCCTTATAACAATAATTTGGGCTAAGTTCATTTGAGTTTTTTCATAAAATTCTACCAACACAAACCAATAATACCATTTTTGGTTAAAATTAGAAATTCGTTAAAGACGCAGTGAAATATTTCGAATTGAATTCAAATTTAGTTTGTTATTTTTACATACTCATAAATTCACAATCGGAGCCGCAACGTTGTATGTCGTAAATTTTCACTATTCTTTTGTTTTTGTGTTTTTTTGTTATTTCTTAAAAAGTTTCATATTTGTATATATGTTTTACGTATCATGATGTAAGAACAAAAGCCCTTTGGAATACAAACGTGTATTCCAAATTTCATCAAATTATCTTGAAAATTGCGACCTATACTTTTATAATAACGTTTACATGTACACACGGACGGACGGACATCGTTAAATCGACTCAGAAAGTGATTCTGAGTCGATCGGTATACTTTAAGACATTGTCGTTTTTACAAAATCCACAATATCTCGGAAACTGGAGCTAACCGACAACATACCAAGTTTTGAACGCAGCGGGTGGAAATACGTAGGAATCAGCAATTTTTATTTAAAAGGCATTTTAAGTGTTGTCTAGTGTAATCAGTGATGCCAAGTGTAGGGATTTTTCCCTTTTTGTAGGGATTTTTTTCAAAAATTTCACGTGTAGGGAAAAAGGGAAAGATTTCTTACTATTGTCAAATTGTAGGGATTTTTTCAATTTCATAGTTTTTATCAACTAAAAATATACTCTTTTATGTATTAAACTTTAAAATTAAAAATGAAATGAATTTTAAGTGTATCGTTAGTAAAAATTCCGCTTGTAATTTCTACAATATGTGTACCTACATATCGCTACAAGCCTGGCATAATCCAAAATTCGGGTTTCTTGAACCGAGGTCTACAAAACATGCGACATACTAAAATCTTTCATATAGATTTATCAAATTTCTAATATGTCTATTATTTTCGATGTGAAATCGATTTTTTGTAAACGTAAAAACTAAAACCCACGTTTCGTGAATATTAGACAACTAAAAATTTAATTTCAATTTAGATGAGAAACATATTAACCTCAACTATCTGAATTTGGATTTTTAAAATCCCTTGATTTGTTTAAAAGTTATCAAAGAAAATAGTTAAATGTCATTAAATATTCATATCCATTTTTCTTGAAAGAACTTTTTTGGATCATGCCAATCCTGTAGGGCGATATATTCTGACTCCTTACAGATAGAGTAGTCGGGGGCTTAATGCAGTAACTCAGGATTGAAAAAATAATTTAATGTTCTGAAAATTTATAAAAGTAAACCGCAAAAAGTAAACGCAAAAGTAAACCTTATTTAAAATAATTATATTAAATTTTATGAAATTTTTTTGTTGGGGGCACATAAAATAAAATTTTAACATCGAATCGTGATACTGCCATAAATCTCTCAATTGTCTTGTTTTTTAATCTTAACTGAAGACTCACGGTTGGAAGATTTGTATGATGTAAAATTGAAAGTAAAAAATTAAAAATTTAAATTCTAGAAATTTCATTCCTAAAAATTTAAATATGTATATTATAAAACAGAGCTAATATTTTAGTTGTTTATGTTATTTTTGTATTTTTTTAAGATAAACTTGGAAAAAAATTGGAAAAAGTAGTGTAGGGGAAAAATGTAGGG